CAAGCACGCACACACGCATGTATTCATTACAGAATATGAAGATAAACATTGTATGAGAGAATTGCAATCATCAAATTTTATTTTATTGTGCAATTAAAATATTAAATCATTGTAATCCGCTGTACATCCCATGTCCCTAAAATTATAAATCAAAAACCAGCTGCCGAGTTTTCGTTTGCATTATTTTTGCATTTTCCTCCAGATGGCGCTATCGCACGGTCCAGTTGGTCAAACATAACAAAAACTGCTCAAATATTAAAATCAAAGGTCCATATTACGTCATATCAAGATAGCCAGTGACCTACATAATGTCTTTTGAATTTGGGGTTGATTTGGATCTGAGGTTAATTTTTTCTGGCTAACTTTGAAATATGCTGAACAAAAATTCGTTCTATGTATTTTTAATGTTGTATATTACAAATGAAGTTCCATCCGTAAAATATTGGTGAGAGTTGAAAAGGAAAGGCGGTCACTTCAGCCTGCCACCTCCCCCTACCATGAATGTAATGGGATGGACAGCCTGGAAGGAGACGTCACTGCCTCAGTGCTGAGTGATCAGGAAGTGGAGCGAAGGCGGCCTAGATATTAAGTATACGAATATCGTAAATATCGTAATTTCGACCGAATCAGTATAACGTTTCAATATATCAGTATTAGGCATTTAGTGATGAGTTTATTGTGATTTGTTTTTGAAAAAATTATTTTGAAGCCTGTTAGTCATTCCTCAACATTTTCCCCAAGTACCATTTCGTTTCTTCCTTCAGTTCATTACATCGTCTCAGAAAGATTGAAAATGTACATAACCATGTAGTTGCACTTCAAGTTCAACATTTTGAACTTCATCGGTAGAGATAATAGTGGCAATGGAAGTTTACCGCGAGAAATGGCCAAGGAGGGGAAAATGCTGTGAAATGATTTGTGAGAGTCTGGCTATTGACATGTTGATATTTAGTGAGCAGTTGGTAGTGGAATTAAAGAATATGATAAAGGTAGAGTAATAGGTCTAAACGTCCATTACCTAAGTAAAGAACATAATTCAAGTATTAAGGGTGTGTAGTAATATATTTCCATTTCGAATGGTAATATCACACAAATTTTAATTTTAAAAGTTCAATTAATTAAATGTGTGTGCTAAAGAGAAGTGGTATTGATTTCTTGCTTGGCATATTATAATATCAACTTTTCAAGACATAGGGGGTGAGCTGAAAGCGCGAATTGCTGTTTGGAACGGATTTGAAAAGGCTCTGTCCAAACGTGTTTTTCACCAAACGAGTTTTTTTATTATTCAATATGACGTCACGAATTTGATTTTTTTTGCAAATAAAATGTGGTATATTTGAAACGTAATTCTGTTTAAGAATGCAGGGCCATCAGTTACCAAAATGGTTTATTTTGATAATCCTTTTCTATGCATTTAAATATGTTCTGTACTATTGTAGTTTCATGTTTGTCGCCGCGACAACAGTGAATAAGTACTGTTTACGGTATTCTTCAACAAGACAGCAAGTGTTTAGCAAATTATGCATAATTTTAAGCATGTTCACCTTGATCACCAAGGGACACATTATCCAAAAACAAATATTAATTTTGCTGCTGTATAAAAACTGACGTTCATTGTGTGTTTTTCTTTTAATGCTCAGATAAGAAAAAAGACATATCGTCTCTTAAAATTTGAACATTTTGTTGTCTTGTTCAGTAATTGCGTAGCATGATCAGTTATTTGTTTTACTAGTAAAGTGTGAAGAATTTACAAATTCTTGTGATTAAGTTGTTTTTATTTTCCAAATATGACTGCATTCGGCAATTCTCTCTTACCAGCATCTTTCATTCTATCTACCAGATGATGGAGAAATAATGGATATTTTCTAGTATTTGGAACAATTTATGTTCAGAAGGTTGCAAAACATTTGTTACAAAAATTTTCCAATTGAAAGCGGCTACAGGAAATATTAAAAATATCGTGATGTGTCCCTGGGCTTTAACCAAGATTTCATAAGTTTACATGTTGTCTATATTTTTAATAAATTTTGTAATGGAATTTCTTCTATTTCATTATCCAGTGCAATGTTTAGTATTAATTCGGTTTTGTCAGTAGCGGGCTAAACGCTGTAAACGTTTGGCACCCAAACCCAATACAAGGTGCAAATAAAGTCACAGACATGCTCTTAAAATATTTGGTGCATAGATTGCAAACTATGTTTGATTATTTTAGGGCCCCACATGAAGTGGTTTGTATCGAAGTGTTTCTCTCCTGGAACCACGAATAATATAAAAAATCCATCGTCTTATCCTCAAAAAGGAACACTGTTACAAATGCACCAAGTACTTATTGCATCTATTGCACCAAGTATTTCTAAAACATTTTTCTGGGGGAACATACGTTACATAATATTAGCCATAACGCAAAGACCCTTGAGCTACAGTTTAAATATTTATGAAAACATCCTTACGCCATATACATAATTTACCATGACTGAATCACTACAAAATATATCAGAACGCGATATAACAAATAAAATTAAATGACCCAGAACATATGTTAACCGGAACATACGTTACAATTTCGGCTCGATACCCAATGTGAAGACATGGTAAAAATTAAAAATTAAATTAAAATTGAGACAGTTGTGGATTTTTGTTCTATACACAAATATGTTTTAAAATTTTTAATTTAAAAATACAACTTTGAATTCATTCAATTTTATTTTTTGACATCTGAAATGCACCTCTATGTTGGGTTTGGGTGTTGTACGTAGGAGAATTTTCACGTTTTTGTCAAACAACAGAAGTATGTACGTTTTTACAACCTGCTGTACATATCGGACTTTCAAAAACGTTCAATTTTCATAAGAGCAATTAATAAAAATTGCATAATTTTTTATTGCTGTATAGAGAAAAACACTGGTGGATCCAGAATTTTAAAGCGGTCAAATGCTGAAATTTAGGGGAAACTGGTGTATTTGGGGATTTGATCATGTGAGTCCAAAATAGCTCACTCTCCTCGGGGAAGGGAAGGGGTGAAGGTAAGATCCACCATTTTTTTTTTGTGAAGAAGTTGAAAATAATGTTTTGATTATTTAGACCAAACATTAGACCAGTAGAGTAGTAGATAGTTTCTTTGTAAAGTCGAATAGACAAGAATATTACGTTTGTTACACCTTCGAATGAGTCTTAATGTGGAGATCAATAATTTTCTTTTACACCCTTGAACCTTTTCAGTTTTATGATAATAAGAAGACAAAGTTTTTTAAGTATATGTTTAATGAATATATAGATACATATTAACAATTTGTTTTGTTCTTAATAAAAAAACTTATTGAATATACAAAATGTCTTAGTGTTTTTACTGACGGCTACATGGCTCAGTGGTAGCCTGGGGTTGGGGTTCGATTCCTGGCTCGGGTACTTTGGAATTACAAATGGGTGCAATTAAAAATTTCCTTTGGTTACTATAAGAAGAAAGTCTACCCGGGGAGGGTGGGTGGGAACAGTTAGAGAAGTAAGTAACGCGCTTGCTTCTGAGACGGAAGGTCGCCAGTTCGATTCCTGGCGCTTCTAGGTCCCAGCAAATTACCTTTTGCAAAAATAATTCCAAATAAACAATTTAAACTACTAGAAGAGGATCACGCGAAAGCAGATAAAGGCAAGCTGAGTCAATGGCTCAACAGGTAAGACGACAGTCCAAGAAGCAGAAAAAGATAGACTAAGGAACTGATAAGCAAAGGTTCGAGTCTAGCTGAAGAAGAAAAGAAAGTTGGTAATGAGTGGGTTATATTTTGCACATTTTGAAACTACATCTATTACAACTTACAAGAACGTTTATTATAACAAATATCAGCAATTGCACCTAAGAGATGTATGCGAAAACCGAACATTACGTTTTGGCTCTACATAAAAAGCAATTTTCGAGACAAAAATCAAGCTTAAATACAGCCATTTACAACTAAATGAGCAGAAGTTCTATGCATTTTGAAAATTGTCCCTCAAGAGCAATCATTTTTGTTTTAAAAAAGTGTTCAAGAACACTGCAGACGACATAATACTAACCAGAACATGGAATTCTCAGGATTTTGCCCAGATTTGACGTGATATATTTTACAACTATCGTTCCAAGTTGATATTGGTGTATTTGTCTTTTGACTGATCCAAAATTTCACCGAGGGACATTTTTATAAAAACTCAAAGGTGGTAACGATTTCGAAAATTCAAATCGCATATGATCTCAGCGTTACCCCCACACGCGGGTACACACTCATGACACCACAACTTACTCTATGTCGCCATGTTGATGATCGCACACAACACTAAACACCAGTCAAACATTCAATTCTGTAAATTTGATGAGTGTTTTTTCTCATAGATAAATGAATATGTACCTTATATTTTGCGTCATTTTTTCTTCTCTTTAAATCTTGGTGGCAAAATTTTGAGTGAACACTTAAATTTACTCGTCGTGTGAATCAAGAACAGCATGAAGACATGGTCAGTTTACAACAACCTTATCAGTCACAGCCATTTTAAGAATAATATGTAAACAAAATTGAAAACGTTATGCAAGAAAACATTTTACCTAAAATAACTGAGCCCATTTACTCAGAAAATGTTAATAAACTCAATGGTCTCCGGTGTTCATTGATCAAGAAACACTCCGCAAATTAACCTAACAGCACGTGCAGGACTGGCATCTTATTGGCCTTGTGTTATCAATCACGACCGAAAAATAGAATTTAGTTCAAGAACAACATTAAATAAAGCACTGACCTTCCAATGTTTTTGTAAAACGCTTTGTCTAGCCAATCAAAGTGTCATCTTTCTGATTGAATTTTGATTTTCCATATTTGATTTAATAGACGAAATATCTCAAAACAAAAAAGGATTTTTAGACGAGAAGTTAGTAAATTGGCAATTAACTAACCAAACCATACACTTAACAGTGTGCCAAATATAAGAATAGGTATTTATGTAGATTTTAGAAAAAAATCCTTTTCGTTTTATTTCAATAAATATCTAATTTCGTGTTTTTTAGAGGATTGACAAAAGTTGACGGTCTACAAAAGTCCGTTCACTTACTAGGGAATACCCGTTACCCCCCAAAATGGAGCTTTGCGACAACTGTAGTTATCGATACAAATTTGATAAGGATTTTTTCAAAATTTCAAGTTGTAAAAGGATGTAATAAATGCCAGTCCTACATGTACATTTTAATTGACAAAATATGTCAAAAGGAAACATTATCTACAATAAACTGTTTCTATTTGTGAATATTTACATTTCCGCTTTTTAATGAAGGCAAAGAGTCAATTTTCCTTCTTTTACAGTGTATAACAAAAACATACTGATTTCGAAAAAAAAAATCTGCAACCCTTGGTTTGATATTCTGAAAACACAAACATTTCTACCCCCTCCCAGCAATAAAACTATGGGTCTATCACTGATCAGACATACTACTAGTATAGCAAAACACCGGAAACCAAAGGAAGTTTATTCTTACCATGCGTCATAACCGAATATTCAGTTTTGGAAAGACCCGTTTCAATACGTGTGGGCAATTCTGCAATAACTTGAGCACATTTTACAATTTCATACTTCCATTAATTCTTTAGTGTCATAATTTGGATCATAGCGTTACAGTTTATTGTAGATTTACATCTCGTTCATTTCTTCCAATGAACCCACAATAAAAGATTCCTGTAAGCATTTTACGTAATGGAGTCGCAACGTATTTTTCTTTTCTAAAGTTAACTTCATTAAAATCAACATTTGTATCCAATTTTAAAATATGAATAAACATGCATTTTCAAGTGCATAACAAAGCGTCTTATTACATATTTGCCCATACATATTTTACAATCAAACAGAAAACCGGTGTCATATACCAGAAAGTCCCCCATAACAGAGAGTCCGCTTCCCATTACTTTGTACAGGTGAGCGTCGCCCTAAATTTTGACCCACATAGGTTTAACTAACCCTAACCATTATAACTATGTGGAGGGCGGCCTTTCTGTCACACGGACCCCCAGTTTCGTGACACCGGTCGTACTAGCACAGTGTTCTACCTGGACATCTCTTAGTGATAATTCTACAACAATTACTTTTATCTTCATAGCAGGCACTTTTTGTTTTTGGATAACTTCTAAAGTGTCGTTTCGGGTTCGAGTACTGGTGGGTTTGAACAAAAATATATAAATTACAATAAAAACGTGCGGATAGAGTACTGTACTACAACTGACGCTTAGATTTAGCCCGTTTTATGAAGTTTCATGAATAAAGCACTGGTTACAAACTGCACTTCATTTGATAAATGTTTTGATGCAGAATATTACAAACCAAAACAAACTTTACATTTTCAGGCTTATCAAACGTCAACCCTGCAAGTTGACTATACGCAAGACAACGTTGACATGGGTGGGGTGCTCGCGAACACGAATCTGATGCTTTTGCTGGGAGTGCGTCCAATTTCATCGTAGACGGTTGTCACGAGTTACTGAAATTAAATGAAAAATGAAATAAATTAAACAAGGTTCACACGTAGGAAGCAATATCTAAGGATTTAATAGAGTGACATATAATCTGTACAACGATCCATCTGGGTATGCATTAAGAGACCATGTTATAACAATAGATATATACTCGGTATATTGAACCTACACGTTCTATACAATGACACACTTTACAACAACATCTCTACAATTGCATACCCTGTACACACTGTTACACGTCAACATACTGATCTTTAAATTCATCTGTCTTTGCTAAGCCATATCCCTCCACGAGAAGTATTTTGATGGAGATTGCATATTTGCCCACATAGATAATTTTACCATAAAAACAGAAAACAGGCCGTACAATCACGCCGCTTTGTATACGAACTCTTACCAAAGGTAACAGTGTTTGGACTTCTATATATTTGCGGCATTAAAAGTCGATAAATGTAAACGTTTGACAAGCCTAGTTTTGATAAATTTAAATCACTTAAAAGTGAACGAAATGACACTCTTCCATTTGTAAATGCGGAGACCGGGATAAGAAATATTAAAATTGTCTCGGTTGTGTAGAATGATATAAACTTTAGTCAAGAACAATTAACATGTGGTTCATAGAGCACCAGGAAGAAAAAATTGTTTGGTTTTGTCTTGTTAACGTCATTACACAATTTTTGGCATTTTGGTAGTGTGATAGAAGATTAGAATTTTACTGTTATTATTATTAGGCCTACCACTTGGCTTTTATTTACGGAAAATGAATGATTATACTTATATATAGCGCTAGCTTTATTCCAATTCAGCATCTTGAATAAATTAGCAATTCGATCGATGGCATGTTTAGCCCAACTTTTTGTTTTAAACCCAATATATTTATTTTTCAGATAATATTAAGGACTGAATGTAAATCAATGAAATCATAAAATTAAAGTGACGGGAGGTAGACAGTGCCGAGCAAACACGTTTTCTTTCCTGATCGCGGCTAGGTCTCTAAAAACCATTCGTTTATTGTCAGTTGACTTTAATAAACAGGATATATTTGTACAAGCAGCTGTCGTAAGATGAAAAAGGCTCCAACTGGGAGCTGCCAATGTACCGATAGTTACCTGTTACGTCCTCTTGCTTCGTTTAAGACGGAGTAACGCGCCAACCCCTTTGGACGGCTCTAATAATCTTCTCACTTCCTTTTTATGAGCAAATGTTTCCTCCTGGAAAAAGTAGCATAAAACGTTATTTAAAATTTCAAGCTCATTTCGGCATTCATGTCAATTAAATATGCACAAGAGCCATTACACCTCAAGTGGGAAATGTTTTTCATAAAATATTGTCAACATAAAACGTTCATGTTGCCTTATACCATCTATTCAGTACTTACAACAAACTTCATAAGTTCTCAGTGCCAAAATTCCAGTCTACGTGTGGATATTATGGCGATGTGGCATATAAGGCTTCTTCCTCCTCCTCTTGACCTTGGTTCTATCTGAATACCTCTCACCAAAATGCTCACCTGATTTACATAATAATATCACTATCGTGGGATTGTGTTAGAGAAGACACGATGCGGCTTAACGCAATCTAAAACGTTACCATCAGCTTATTGTACGTGTACAAACAAGACATTTTGTTTTGTCTACAGACCTTCATCCCAAATGAATGAGGTTATTATTATTAACGCATCCCAATTAAAACATGCTTTCGTCTATTGCTCTAACACTGTGAATATTTAACACTAGAGTTGTGGCGACTAAGGTATGTACATATATATCTAACATTTTAATTTTTATGCAGCAGTACATACATGTAAGGTGTCTCGATCCTAGGATATAAGCAGCGTGGCAAAGAGGAGCTTGTTTGACTGGATTTCATTGTGACACCAGTGAAAACACGTTTGTGTATCAACTTGTATCAAGGTGAAGGTTATACGCGCGAAAGCAAAAACTACTAAATTTTTTCATCACCTATTATTTTTTCATCACCCGGATTTTTTTTCCCTTTTGAATACATTTTAATTAATTAAAGGTTCTTAGCTCAAACGTCTCCTCAACCTCTCTATGTCAGTTTTGTTTGAAGCCGCTGCTAATGCGCTCCTGGAAAGTACTAACTTTTATACGATTTCTGTTTTAACCATATATCTCCAAATTCATTTTTTAAATTAGAGCTTCATGATTTCAGGTTATGTAGGTTTGGAGTTTAAAGCTAAATCGAAATATACACATTTAAGAAAATGGCTGTCTTTCAATATTTTACAAAAAAATTACTTAAATCGCATTTGTACTCTTCTAAGTAAGGAGTTCTTCCAGTTTCTCCTCTAACTTCGTGATTTGTTTACAAAAGCTTCCCAATAGAGACTTGTCGAAAAATAGCGTTTCGTTTTTTTCTTTTGAAGATACGTAACAAGCGAGAGAACCGCTTTGTATATTCCCTGTCACGCATTCAAATTACTACTACCAGCTTCTTACAACTGACACAAAAGAACTCAAAGTGAAATTTATCACTCGAACACCTGAAAGATGCTTTAAAACTAGACTTTTTTTAAATATTTCTGGACGCAAACCAGATATAATTATCCGTTTCTCCAGTTCTGAAACCCTACCCTCCACTTTAACTTGGTTGACATTTTTGCTGAGTACAGAGATTAGCCATCTATTTAACGAGAGACATATCTGTTAATATCTAGTGAAAATCAATATGTGGCCCTGGAAGAGAGTAAGATTAATCTGTGTAGAGAGTAAAATCTGTGTGATTAAAGGGCGGGTGGATTCTGTATTACACGGGCCTTCAGTTTTGTCACACCGGCACTTTCCTCTAATTTTCAGAGCGCTGCCTATTTCATCACATGTTAATAGGGCATTAAGATTCTTTGAATTATCAATATTGAATTATCAATAGTTGACAGCTTTGTTCATGTCTATTAAGATCAGCCTCTGTTAATTTGATTTTCATCAATAACGACTTCCAGATTCAAAAAGGGATCAAAATGTTCAACCCAAGATAAGTTAAGGTAAGAGTTTATTTAGCCAATTAATGCAAATGTGAAGCCGCCCCCCCCCCCCCGCGAAGGGCCCCGAAAATTTTGGTATTTTAGAGGGCCATTTGGTATGGTTTAGAAATATGATTCAGATAGTCAAAATTCTAATTTCAACAGGGGACCATTGGTGTGATTTTTTTTCCGAAATTGGTGGTCAAGTTGTAGGTACAGTAGGTATGGTTGCCTATGGTCCGGATATAAGAACAACAGTATTAGCTGCACCCTGTTAGCCGTGTTTTGGCTTTTAGCATAGCCTGCTATGCCGTATACGGGATGGCGTACTTCTCTCAATTGGCCTCACTTATTATCTTTTAATATTTCCGACATTATAATTTTCAAAACCAGTTCGATAAACCGCATAAAACCCTTTTGGTAGAAAAGAATGATCTAGACTTGGGAACTATTACTGTCCTTTCCCTTTACTTTTTTAAATCACTGCTGAGAGATACAAGATGGTTAGAATATATTTTACTCCAAATGTTGTGGCACAAAAAGCATTCAGTTTTTAATCATCTCAGTTTTGTCATTGACGTCTACGAGTACTTCAATTAAGGGCTCATTCCCAATGGAACTATTGGTCTATGTAAACCGATTTAACTCCACAGTGACTCAACAAATGCAATCCTCTTGTAACACAATTGTGTAATGACCACATTTTCCAATTTCTACTCAAAGCTAGGGGGTGGTGTGTTAATCTCTTTATCTGATTGCATTCAGCAAGAGTCACCCTGAATGTGATCTACCCAGACAGTTGTTTCATTGGGATTGAGCTCTTAGACCTAAATATTCTTCCACAGTCATATAAAACAACAACAACAAGTAATTATAATAATAATATTTATTCATAACTAAAAGTTGGTTGATACATTTATAATGTTGAAATAATTCTTAAGAGAAACAAAGGTCAAATACATTTTCAAGAAATGCATTAAATTTGAAAGTTATGAATATAGTTGATAAAATCATAAAATTACCTAAAATAATACAAATATGACAAATAATGACAAAACTACATTGAAGACTTTCAATTTAATTTCCAAAGAATTTTGAAAACTGTATTTATAAACATTTGCACAGTGCTTTTTATTTACATTTGTGCATTAAAAATTCCCCATGTAAATTTATATGAACTTTGTGCATATTTCATAAGGAAACAAAAGCCTAAAATTCACTGCAAATAGAGTCTAGTTAGCCACTTTTAAATGCCCTCTCTCTCTCTCTCTCATCACTGTATATCATGTCCACTGTGTGTTCAGTGACTTCCATATGAGACTACAGACACATACAACTATGATCCCCACTGCACTGATGAATAACATAGTCACATCATATTACCTGGATGGGGTTATGTGTGTAAATGAAATATCTTAAATATGACAGTTGGCGTGAAAATAACTCTCTAGTGGCAAAAAATCAGAATATATTTACTTATCAAGTATCCTTCATCAGTTTTTTCATGCAGGTGTAGCACCCTACCCAGGCACTGTATGATGTCACTGAGGCATGAGAGAGAAAATATAACAACAGCTATAGGAGTCTGAAGTTTTCGTAGTCCTTAATTTCGCTTTATCCTCTCTTAATCTTTGCCTCACTTTCTCTTAAATAAAATTCTACACTAATGAGCTTAGTTAAATAACTAAACATTCTTTGATTCAACACAGTTCCAGAATTTCCAGGTGGAAATTCAATAGGTACTACTAACAGACATTAACAACAGTCATCATTCTTTGTTTATCTAGTATTTGTTTAGCACTACTTTGGGCAAGCTCAATAAATATGTCTGGATATTTACTATAAGAAAATGCCTTGTCTTTTAATTCAATTGCACTTAAAAAATGTAAAAGAAAAATAACAAAGTAAGTGACAGAAATAAATACTCATCTTTTATAAAGACTAAAATATAAAGACTACAACTGCTACAGCAGTGTACATACTAGCATAAAGCTTCAATACACTTGTGACAAAATGTTTATTCTAAAGAAATTATAATGAAATGATTTTCTGCATATTACTTTTACAAAATTCCTGCAGACATCTTTTATACTATATTATCTTTCGACAAACCATAAGATGAGCTCTAACACAAGACTAGACAGCAAAGCTGGAAAAATATACAGACACAAAACATATTGCAACAATAGAGTTGAATAGATTCATTTATGTGACAGTAATGAAAATATTCAAATATAATACATAATATATGAATATCTATATATAAGTATGGGTCCAGCTTTCTTGGTTTACAAAGTCACCATTACCATTTAAGTTACTTATATAATAGCTTCTTTCAATATTTATAGAATGGGTAATTATGAGACAAAGTTTTCATTATGACATTTTTATGTTTCACATTTCTGGTGTGCAAATTACATTCTGATTTTTTATTCAGACAAAGTGGGGGGGATGCACAATGTTTAGAATGACCACCAGTGGATGTCCAGGGATGGGTACAGATAGGCTCGATATGAACATGGCCCCCTACTACCAGACATCTACCAGTACCAGTACTCCTACAGCAAGTTCAAAGCCACTGCCTCCAATTGAGCTGAGTGACATAGAGTCAAGATCAGAATCAGAGTAAGTGTTTGATAACTAAGCAGCCAATGGGTCCTATCTCCTGATGCAGGAAGAAAAAATTAAGTCTGGTTCACAAACCTTGACAGCACTGGGACAAATCACCACCAACAAAATATTTCAGATGGACATTTTGTCAGGAATAAGTATTATCCCCAAAATAAAGATAGGGGGATGATATAATATATGCAACATGACTGCATTTAAGGGAACAGTTTTCACACAAAAAGAGGGGAAACAATGGATGACTTCACAAAGTTATTTTTTCTTTTAGACACATAAACAATTCACAAGGCTGTTGTTATTTGTTTTGTTGGTAATTGTGGTGTGTTTTTGAGATCATGATGTGTAAGGAGGTCAAGTTCTGGGGGAAGTTTCTTTTGTAATAATAGTTTGATATTTTTTCGAGAACTGCAATATGTTTATTTAAAGATGGCTCAACAACAGAGGTTTGGTTATTCACCCACAAGAGACCCTCTGCTAAGAATATAGACGCGCTTAGGTGAATATGATGAGGTTATTACTAGAATGGACAGCGTCTGCTATAAAATGGAGCAGAAACAAATTGTTTTGACTAAAGCGGTAATTTTTTTTGCTTTTTTTTTTTGGATCATGTAAATTTGTAGGTATGATTTTAGTAAAATAGATGTTTATTTTTTTGTTTTTATGTAGAAAAAATAGGAGAAAGGAAAAAGTTTGTGATTTGTAATTGGAGGTATATAATTTGTGATAGTATGAAATTGAAGAGGACTAATAAGGTTTTTGAGTGAATTTTGTTTGGTGAAGAATATACTGATTTGTTATTTATAGGCTTTGGAGAGAAATGAGATTTAATTAGAAAAATGCAGGATGAATTGAAATTCGAC